GAACTGGTTCTCTTCATCTTGGAGGCCAAAGCTTTATCCTCAGGAGTTTCTCCCCGAAGCTTGAAAGCTAGGATGGGGTCCATCCAACTAGGCTCTGGGTCAGCGCAGCACACTTCAGGTGCTTCGTCGACACTTCTCTCTCGACGCACTTCTACATATACAGATCTGTTCAGCTCGGTAAAAGATGAACTAGCAAGTTTGGAGAGTGCATCGGCTTGAGTATTCTGACCCCTTGGGATCAGCTGAACCTCAAAAGTTTTCAGCTCTGCAATGACTGATTTGATCTTGGCAAGATAAGCTATCATGGAGGGCTCTTTGGCCTCGTAGCTGCCACTGATCTGATATGCAACTAGCTGAGAGTCTGTTTTTAAGCAGACATGATCGGCTTCCAAGGAGATGCACAATTTTAGGCCGGCGATTGCTGCCTCATACTCTGCTTCATTGTTCGAGGCCTTAAAAGAAAACTTTAGTGCATACTCAAAGGATTTGCCTTCGAGAGAAGTTATCACTACTCCTGCCCCCGAACCGTTTTCGGTGGAAGACCCATCCGTAAACACGGTCCAGACTTTCTTTTCACTGTCTAGCGCTTCTTGGTATGAGCATTCGGCCAAGAAATCCGCTAGGGCTTGAGCCTTAATGGCAGCCCTCGGACGGTAGCTGATGCTGAATTCGGTGAGCTCAAAAGCCCACTTGGCTAGCCTACCAGATTTTTCAACCTTGCCGAGAACTTTTTCCAACGGCTGATCAGTTAAGACCACTATCTGATGGCAATCAAAATAGGGCCTCAGCTTCCGAGCAGCTACTACTACCGCGAAAGCAACTTTCTCGAGTAGAGGATAGCGAGTCTCGGCATCCGTCAGTGTATGACTGACGAAGTAGATCGGTTGCTGACTCTTACTCTCTTCCTTCAGCAATACTGCGCTGATGGTGGCTGGGCTAACGGCCACATATAGGTACAAAGTTTCTCCTTCAGCTGGGCTAGCCAGCGTTGGGAGTTGAGCCAGATGCTCCCGAAGCTGTTTAAAGGCGTCTTTTTGCTCTTCCTCCCAAACGAGCTCTTTTGTTTTCGGGAGTTTTAGGGCTTTGAAGAAAGGTAACCCCTTATCCGAAGCTCTGGAAATGAACCTCGAGAGGGCTGCCATTCTTCCGGTGAGCCGCTGAACATCCCGCTTCGTTTTCGGCTCAGGAAGGTCGAGCGCCGCTTTGACTTTAGAGGGATTGGCATCAATCCCCCTTTTGCTGACCATGAACCCCAGGAATTTCCCTGACTTCACGCCGAAGACACACTTCTTCGGATTCAGCTTCATTTGATGCTTTCTCAAGGTGGCGAAAGTTTCAGCCAGGTCCTTTACATGGTCCTCTAGTTTTTTGCTTTTGACGATCGAATCGTCAACATAGACTTCCATGTTTCGGCCCTTTTGATCGGCGAAAACTTGATCCACCAGCCTTTGATAGGTTGCCCCCGCATTTTTCAATCCGAAGGGCATCATTTTGTAATTGTACACCCCAGCGTTCGTGACGAATGCTGTCTTGGCTCGATCGTCGGGGTGCATAAAGATCTGATGATACCCCGAGAATGCGTCCATGAAGCTAAGCAAGGCATGGCCACTTGTCGAATCGACTAGCTGATCGATTCTCGGCAAGGGATAGAAATCCTTTGGACAAGCCTTATTTAGGTCCGTGAAGTCAACGCACATCCTCCAGGTACCATTGGGCTTCTGAACCATCACCACATTTGCCAACCATTCTGGATATTGGCAAGGTTCAATGAATCCTGCCTCTAATAATTTTTTAACCTCGGCTGCGATGTCTCGGTTCTTATTGGCGGAGTAATTCCGCTTCTTTTGCTTAACTGGTCGACACGTCGGGTCAACATTAAGCTTATGGGAGATGAGGTCTGAACTTATCCCGGGCATATCAGCTGCCGAGAAAGCAAACACATCTCTGTTATCCCGAAGGAGCTGAATAAGTTCGCAACGGGTGTTCGGATCAAGGTCCATCCCGATTGTTACACATTTCTCAGCGTCTCCTTCGGCCAACTCAACTGTTTCAGTCTGTTGGTCCATGTCCATTGCTGATGGATTGGACTCTTCATTATCTGGCCTGCTGCCAATGTCAGCAGGTGTCCCAGTCTTTTTGTTCTTCGGCTGGCTCTCTGAGTCTTGCGGCTCAGCTGAGGAGCTAGCCTTTTCCCTTTCGGGCCCTTTACCTCTGGGTACAGATCCTTGGGCCAAAGCACTTAGGCCTTTCGGCTTTTTTGTGCTTGGCTCTCTTTCTTTTTCTTTCTCCTCCTCATCCTTGTCGTCATCTGGGCGACTACTGGATGGCTTGAGGTAGTTGCACCTTCGGGCGTCCTTTTGGTTGCCCTGTATCCTTTCGGGGAAGCCGGCGTCTGAGACGTAAATCATCAGCTGATGATAAGTTGAGACGACCCCTTGGATCTCGTGTTATTCTGTTGAGCTGGCACCGAGTTACCACCTTGACCTGGTTTTTCGACCACCATAGCTGGTTTCTGTCCTTTAGGAGTGTATTTGCGAGCTGGTTTTTTCACAAGCATCCACGACCCAAAGTCCTCTGTTTCTTCTGGTTTGGGAGCTTGATGGAACAGAGGATTTTCCTCCATTCTAACGCTGGTATCATTCCCCATGTCATCTTGTGGAGTACAGTCATCTCCTATATGGCCTAGCTTCCCACATTTGAAACATACCATACGAATTCCTTCATATTGGACTCTCCATATCCTTCCTTTTAACCAAAATTTCGAAAGAAGAGGCTTTGACAGATCGATTTCCACGCTAATTCTTGTGAATTGACCTCGCTCCGCTTGTGCAGTCGTCTTATCCGCCCTAAGAACTTTTCCAATTCTTGAACCAACTTTGTTCAGGAAGTTGATATCAAAATATTCAACCGGCAAATTTGGAATTCTTACCCAAGCAGTAAGAACCTTGATTGGGGACTCATCTGGAACAAAATTAGGAACCCATTTCCTAATGGTTAAGTAGTGATCATCCAATAGCCATGGACCCTGTGTGAGTACATAGTTATAGTCCGCTTGATTATATAGTAGCTACATCCAATATCAGTTAGAGAAAGCTCTCCTTTGATATTCCATTTCTTCTTGAGCCTACGCATCAGTCCCATATAGCCAATTTTCCCACTGAACATCTTTATTATCAGGGATGTTTTCCAAGGCCTGCGAAGCCTTTTCTTTTCCTCTTTTGATAATTTAATAACAGGACATCTAGCATCGTTCAAGATTTCTTCTGGAATTGTTTCATCGTCAGAAACATCCTCCTCCTCTTCATCATCGATAATGAAAATTGATAAGGTTGAATTTTGTCCTCCATGTCCTCTTACCAGATCTCTGAAGAGAGGAGAGGGATTTCCAGGCCTTGAATTTATTATCCCTTGTTCTCCATTAGGGTTGTCTATATTCATACCAGAATTCTCATCTTCTTCCATCATATCATCCTTTTTTTCATTGTGATTATTGAGGATGAATTGTGTAATCTTTCTCTTAGGTTTTTTATTCGAACGATCTAATTGGTCTCTTTCTTCAATTGATTTTTCAATTTCACTCGCATTCGCATTCAGAGGGTTTTTCTCCATTTTTTTTGGGTATTATTAGTGCCAAATTAATTCATGAACTTTCAGTGTCATAGGATATTTTGTAGACTAACTTTTTTTTTTTTAAATAAGTCTAGAGTGACCTTACACTACATACGAAGCAACACAAGCAACAACGAGAACAGACACAAGGATACTTTTATTACTTTGAGAATGAGATTACTAAACAAGGCAAAGTACCCGAATGAGTGAATTAACAACTAAGGCAAGTCCTCTATGTATACTATTCAAGGGCTGACCATAACCTGGCCAAATAGGCATAACTACCCGCTACGAATTGTCTTACATGAAGCACTATTGCATACCATCTATCAATCTAGGAGTAGTGGGCTACATTGGTGGTTACTATAACTGTCTACTTCTCCACTATATACTCCTTCTAAATTAAAGGAATGACTGACACATCATCATAATGCATCTCAACTGATGAACAGTTACTACTCATACTAATAGTCACCCACTATTCCTACTAAAGGGGTAACCGTGTCTAGTAACTCTTAACCATCGTGTTTAAGGCATGGTGCACCAATTCCGTTTAAGCCGTAGCTGAAGCCAACTACTTAGCCAAATCCCACAGGGCCGTAGCTCCCATAGGCCATCCTATGTCTTAGTCTATGCCCATGGACTTTGGCCATGGAGCCACCCAAGGTCGACCACCAACCTATGAGTGAGCACTGAGCACTTGTCCCTTACATAGCTTTATATTGATCTAGCCAAATAATTCCAGTGAACACCCAATGGCATGGTTGAGGGGTTACTAGCACCTTCTTCGAGTGTCTCGCCTTTGCAAGATCGGGCCAAAGGGTTGCTAGGCAAGTCTATCACATTAGGAGGAAGCTCCTTCTTGGGACTAGCCTTGGTCTTGCCATGCCAAGTGGCTGGTGCGAGTGACCATGTCAATGGCAGGGGCCCTAGCCCCTGATTGTTGCTGTGATACTTAGCGTTTTAGCTATGATGAATCAAATGAAAAACAACATTGCAACTACAAAGAATCATTAAATAGTGCTCTCTAACAAGGATGTATCTTTGAGTGATATAAGTGGGAGAGCAAGATCTATTTAACAATTGTAATCTTTATTTGATTTAAAGTATTATTTCTATTATATTTGTTAAATTTGAATGTCTTTTGTAGATGATATATGATTTTTTTTATTCATGAATAAAATTTGCAATAACCAAAAAACAGTGTTTACAAACTTAACAAAAATAATTGAAAACATAAACTAATGGTCAAAAGAGTGTATTTGTGACAATTTATATTGCAAAAGTGAGAAACATAATCAAACAAAGGTTTTATTATTAATCCAAGGAGGAATTTATCACATTACATAGCATATGTAGAACATCAAACATTGTCCATATTACATTAATCATTACATAATCTGAGAAGTTTGGGTAAAAGCTTTTCTGAAACGAAACCGAACATGATCATTATTCAAGCCCAAAAGTCCATTCTCATAGAATCCAGAACCTTCGCATAGGACGTTGTCACAATAGAATATCTCATATTCATCTGGTTGGGCATCACTAAATGGTGATAGAATACCGAATGGACTAGGCCCGAGCGACTGAGTAGTACCTGCAGCCACATAGATGTGGCCGGTTGCATTATCCCTGGTAAATCGCCACGATAGTGGTTTCGTGCAGGTGGTAGTGTCGTCGACTATGTAGAATTCAGTTGGACCAAATGGAAGGTACTTTGAGCTTATTGGAGAAGTGATTTTGAAAGGGTGGCCATTAGATGAACCATCTTTCTCTTGGGCTATAAAGAGAGGGCACGCCGAGGTTTGTTGTTTTTGTGCCACGGTGAGGCCTCCTCCATTGGCGGTTCTCTGTGGGATGATGTAATAGGTTCCGCCGTTTAGCACTAGTTCACCATCCTCGTCCGTGATATAAGCATATGAGGCGGCCATAGTTGGGAGAGGAATGAGTTGGAGCAAAAGAAGAGCGGTTATTGCAATTGCTGGTTGGAGGAAGGTACTCATTTTCTTGAGATTTTTTGAGCTTTGGTTGCTAAGTTGTTTGAAGTATTTTGGAAATGTAAGAGCTTGTAAAATGATATTTATAAGAGGCTCCAACGAATATAAAGCTGGAAAATTTTAAAAATGTTAGTTACTCACTCTGTTCTAATTACACGATCACTTAATGTTAATAATTTTATTATTCAATACTCCTTTAATCCTATCAAGCAAGTTTTGGTTTAGTTGGAAAATTTACATCTTATGATGGCTATGAGATTATGGGATTAAAGATCAAATTCCAACAGAGGCACGTTAGGGAAGAGAATCCTATACCCTTTATCCTCACTCTCAATGACCTAATCCGTTATCTGGGATTGGATTGACCTGCTTTGTTACCACTAAATCAACTACACTTGTATACAAATTGTGTAATACTTCCTCTGTTCTATTAATATTGCAACAATGAACTTTTTGCACAATTCATCACTCTTGTTTAACCATATAATATGAGTTATACGTTAAGCAAAATATAGTCAAATGGGGTCTTGTTGGATTCGTCTCATATAATACTTTCACAATATCAACTTTTTATAATTTTTACTCTTACACAATTATAGATATTTATCATATAAAATGTGTTTTAGAATGCGTAATTTTCTCCTTGTTGCAATATTAACAGAACGGAGGAAGTACCATATACAATATGGAGTATTTCACGAGATATTTTACGTGAACCGATTTTATATTTTTTATTTTTAAAAATAAAAATTATAGGGTTAGCACGTGCCCCTCTGGTTACAATTAAAATCGGCAGCCAGTGGTCACTCAAGTAGATAAAAATATTGCCTTGTTGCTTATGCTAGCTAGTGGCCATGTAAAGTGATAGGATGAAAATGAGTTTTCATTATTGTACTAAATTAGCAATAACTAAAACGTATATTACCAATCACTCCAAAACATTTTTGGACCACAACTGTTTAAAATTAAAACCATATTCACGAGATTTTTTTGTAAATAGACTTTAAATTTTATTAAAATAAAATTTATGCTCTTCGGATTACAACGTAGGTCCGCCAGTGGTCACACCCAAGTAAATAAGAATGTTGGTTTTTTGCTAATGCTAAGCCATGTAGTGACATGTATAGTGACAGGATGAAACTTAGTTTTCATAGTACAGCATTTGCAATAGCAAAAACGTGGATACATATATTTACCTATGTAATCAAAGAATTTTTGGACTACAATTGTGTGATGCTTAAACCATATGCAGTACGGAGTATTTCACGTACAAGAGATTTTTTGTAAACAGATTTTTATTTTCTAATTTCTGTTTATAAAAAATTTACAGGGATAGCATGTGCCCCTCGGATTACAACGTAGGCCACTTCACCAGTGGTCACCCAAGAAGATAAGAATTTTGGCTTGTTGCCCACGCTAGCTAGAGGCCAAGTAGCGTCATGTACAGTGATAGGCTTAACTTAGTTTTCATTGAACTGCATTTGCAATATTAAAAACTTTAATAATTTATCTACGTAGTCGAAAGATTTTTATCTAATTTATGCCCTTTTCCACAAAAAAAAAGTCAAAATATTTTTAAACTACAATTGTGGTAAGGACAATAATTTGATCGGTATTCCTCGCACAAATCAAGCATAAGCCAAGTCAAAGGTGATATTGCATTCTAAAATTGTGATTTTGAGTTGAGTAACCTGATAGATAATAGATTTATATATTATCTTGTTAATATTCTGTAACATATATCTTGTGTAATTAGGTTTCTCATAATTAGGGTTGTACACACCTATATATATTGATTAATGAGAATACTCCAACTAAGGAGAATTACACTATTCTACATGGTATCAGATTCCTCTTAGGGTTTTATTTTCTCTCTTTTCCCCAAAACCCTATTCAATCTCTTAGACCTCCATAGCCGTCCATCTCCTCCTCCTACCCGTACTTCCAGCCCTCCTTGGCCGGTGACGATGACTCTGCTCTCCCTCATTCTCCTCCCAAAACCAGCCCCTTCCACCCGGCTTTTGCCGTCAGCAACATCAAATCCCTTATGCCCGTGACTCTTGACCACGAGGACGCCCAATATGCTACGTGGGTTGAACTTTTCCAAATTCATGCTTGTGCCTACAATGTTCTTGACCACATTGATGAGAAGGTGAAGCGTCCAAAGGATATTGATGATGAAACGTGGAAGAGATTAGATGTACTTGTTAAGCAATGGATATACACCACTATTTCCAAAGATCTTGTTAATACCATCATGAAACCGGGTGCTACGGCTCAGGAATTATGGAGCCGACTCGAGGAGTTGTTAAAAATGATATCTATTATTAAATCATCATATTTGATTTAATCTTTCTATAAGGTGACCGATAATAGTAAATTTTGCTGAAAAATTAAAATTGTCATTTTTATGTATTGAATTTATATGTATTTGAAGATTTAATTTAAAATTTTTTATCAGCAATATATGGAATAATATAATCTTTGGTTATAATTTTTACACATTTTCTACAATACAAATGACATAAATCTTTATTGTTGTTGTTGTTGTTCATTGTGCTCAAATAGGAAGGTTATATTATAATAATATGTTAAATATAATTCTAAGAAGATTTGACTAAATAAAATAGAGGGAAAAAAAACAGCAACGGAAAGTGACACTTGTCAATTCTGGTGTCTTTTTTAGTATTATGCAATTATGTAATGTAATGTAATGTAAATGTAATTGATATATAATAAATAATATGTGTACTCGGTAAGATATACATAGTAAAAGATATTGGATAATATTGTATGCAATAAAAAGAAATGGAAAATATGTGAATATATTTTGTAATAAGTAAATCACAATTATATGATTTAGTGAATATTTTTTATTTTTTTAAGCATGTGAATCAGAATTATTGGAAAGAAGTGAATATTTTTTTATAAGGAAGTGAATAAAAAAATGTTTTGGAGGGAAATAAAATGCACCAAGAAGTAACACATATCATTCTTGGTGTCTGTTTTATTAATTATGTTATTGATTGATTGATTTTATTATTCAGTATTTCTTCAATCCTATCAAGCAAGGTTTGGTTTAGTGGGAAAATTTACATCTTACGGCAATCAAATTTTATATTCTATTAAAGGTACGTTAGGGAGGAGATTCCTATACCCTTTATCCTAACTCCCAATGACCTAACCTTTAATTTGGATTGGATTGACCTATTTTCTTACCACTAAATCCGCTTCACTTTTATATGGATTCACGTGGTGGATTATAGGGCTTGGGATAGACTTTAATCAATCGCAAGACTTGAGGGTTCAATTTTGAAATCCCGATCAAAAGTGTTAGTTTAATTGCAAAAACTATAATAATCGCAAGCTCACAATTAAATCAACAATTTAATCAATTCAAACAATCATAAACACTCTTTCTGAATTTTATTAACGAAAGAAAATATATTTATAGGACATATATCCCACACTAACTAGAGTTCTAAAAAATAAAAACTAATTATTCTATTGTAGTTGTGAAACAAAGATCACAATAAGATCTAAAATATCTTATCATAAAACTATAACTAACAAATCATAGATAATCTAAAACTCTCCATAATCCTAATTTGACGAACCAAATTGAATAAAAAAACTAGTTTTAATCTTAATCTGTAAAATACTCCAGACCCAATAACTAATCTAGCTTGAGTACCCACTTTGTTCCCACATCACACTTGTTGACTTGTATACAAATGGTGTAACATTTAAACCATATACAATATGGAGTATTTCACGAGATATTTTTTGTAAACGGATTTTTAAAAATTTATTTTTTATAGAAAAATTATGGGGTTAGCATATACCCCTCGGGTTACAATTAAAGTAGGCCACTGGTCACCGAAGAAGACAAGAATGTTGGCTTGTTGCTTATGCTAGCTAGTGGCCATGTACAGCGATAGGATGACTCGGAAAGATTTTTGGATCACAATTGTTTAATGTTATAACCATATTCACAATAGATTTTTGTAAATAAGAATGTTGGCTTTTTGCTAATGCTAAGCCGTGTAGTGACATGTACAAGTTATAGGATGAAACTTAGTTTTCATTGTGTACTACATTTGCAATAACAAAAACGTGGATTTTTGGACCACAATTGTGCGATGCTTAAACCATATACAGTACGGAGTATTTCACGTACAAGAGATTTTTTATAAACAGTTTTTGTTTTTTCTTTTTATAAAAAATTTACAGGGGTAACACGTGTACAATGTAGGTCCGTTAGTGATGACCCAGTAGATAAGAATGTTTGCTTGTTGCTAATGCTAGCTGAAGGCCAGGTAGCGACATGTACAGTGATAGGATGAAATTAGTTTTCATTTTAATACATTTGCAATAACAAAAATGCGCGTGGATATGTATATTTACCTATGTACTCAGAAAGAGTTTTTGACCACAATTGTGTAAAGACGGTAAAGTTTATAAAGATTTTTTAAGAGAATTTTTTTATTTTCTTTTTTATAGGGGTATCACAGTGATTGGCTTGTTGCTAAAGCTAGCTAGAGACAAGTAGCGACATGTCAAAACTCAATAAGATTGGTATTCACCTCGCACAAACTAGATAGATTTTCATTGTAATAGAGTAAAAAACATATTTTTGAGCATCAATCGTTAGCTGAACCTTTTGGTTAACTTGACCTGTTAATACATTGGATTAAGCATAAGCCATGTCAAAGATGAGTTTATAGTACATGTACAAAGTTACCTTACAAAGTTACAAGTCATGTGGGATTGCATTCTAAATTTGTGATTTTGAGTTAAGTCGTCCACCAAATTTTGAATTAATCACTCTCCCTTCTTTTACTGTCACAATTATTAACAATTCGCTAGATATTTAAAGATTAATCATCAAGACGTCAATAACCCCTTCTCATATCCTTTCAACTCGTTATAAT